TGAGACATCAACCTATTTATGCTTGAAGGTAGGTGTGTGTGTGTGAGGTACCTGTTTGCAGAAGCGCAGAAAGCCAATGGAGTACGTTCTGCCCCACAGACAACAAGTGCCATAAACACAGCTGGACCTGAATGAACACACACTCCTCAGATCAGCTGATTTAACACGTGACAGAGAAACAGAGAGGAGCAGTAAACGCTGAACTCACTGGATGGGTTTTCCTCTGATTTCAGCCATGATGGCGCTCTCACCACCCAGATACTCGTAACACAAACTCAAGAAGTTATAGATGACAAACGCTGCAGAAACACACCGGTGAAATCTACGTTATATCACAGTGATTCATCCTACACAGCACAACTAAAGAACTTAAGATACTAAAGTGTCTATATGAATTGTTACTGGATGATGACTATAACTCATTTGGGTCTGTTCACTGAATATTAGCAGAAACATCTGAGACATAGTTCATAATTTAACCTAACATAACAGATCTTGTGATAGAGAAAGCTGTGAGAGATCAAAGTGCACTGTATCTGTGCTGCTGCAGGTGTTGTTTCTACTGAACGGGTCCAGACGTGAAGGAAATCTCAACATCACATTCCTCACTGTGATTCATCACCCAACACTGAATATGAGACATCCTGATCATATTTCTACATGCCCTATAACATTTACTATAAACCACAGTTTCTACTGGAATTACCATAGTTAGGGGTGTGTGATATTTATTGTTTTAACAATAAGCAAGTAGCAAAAATGCAGTTTTCCTGAATATCAGCACGTTCAACAAACAAGACGTTCATATTAAGTGAGATGCATTGTAGACAAAACATTGGTTTTCTTCTGTTTGCCAAAGAAAATAGCTCCAAACAAAGTTGGATCAGAACATCTGTGCGCCTCGTAGCAGCAATGGTGAGTTTCGTTCATAAATGAATCTGTTTTTGAACAAGTTATTTGAGTCAATGATTCAATGTGCCATTCATAACAACAGTCACTTGTTCGTTTCTAAATGTATCAGCAGTTCTGAATGAATCGTACAAATGAATGATTCAATGAATCACTCATTAAGACAGCGACTTGCCACCACCTACTGGTGGTTTGAGTGTCATATTTAGTTATGACCGGCTTAAACCAGCCAGGGTACCAGCATAATATTGTTTAATTATAGTTACCGAAAAAATTTGTTTTGTCAATATCGCACACCCCTAGTTCAGACAGTTACTGTTTCAACATGGAAAGTGTATTAACATGGTATTAGCGCACTGATTTACAAT